TTGGAGTGCCTACGGAGCGCTGAGTGTACCTCCGACAGGTGCCGACCGTTGGAGCGCTTACAGAGCGCTGAGTGTACCTCCGACGGGTGCAGACCGTTGGAGCGCTTACAGAGCGCTGAGTGTACCTCCGACAGGTGCAGACCGTTGGAGTGCCTACGGAGCGCTGAGTGTACCTCCGACAGGTGCAGACCGTTGGAGCGCTTACAGAGCGCTGAGTGTACCTCCGACAGGTGCAGACCGTTGGAGTGCCTACGGAGCGCTGAGTGTACCTCCGACAGGTGCCGACCGCTGGAGCGCTTACAGGGCGCTGAGTGTGCTTCCGACAGGTGTCGGCTGTTCGAGCGCTTACGGAACATTGGCTGTGCTTCCGACAAACACTCGTGTCTGTGTGGTCGTGTCTGGCGGCCGCGTAACATATACATGGATGAGAAGATATTCACACGTCATTGAGGGATTTGGAGGAGCTTCTGCACGTTAATCCCCTTACGTATGCAATGCCTCAATTTTGGATAACGTTTGCAATATATTTGAGATTCCAGTGCAACATAACGATGATTCAAACTGCATACCGCCACCCGAGGGAGCCACAAACTTCAAATTTATAGCTATAGAATGCTGCACTCCGAACGAATGGACACGCTATTTAGTAAACAGAAATTCAAACGATTGGTGTCAGATGGTTTTTGTTCAAAATACCAGATCGCACACGAGGTCAACTGATGCCACAACAAATTATCCCAGCTTGGCGAAATAAAATGGAGCCGCCACAAGTTTTTACATGACTGGATCTAAGGAACGCGTAATGGCTGATCGCCTCGCAGGTGTCCTTTTGGTGCATCGCACATATCCTCAGGTCACCACCACTGATGGTCATGCTCGACCGCTTGAAGCTAGAATCATCACCCAAGTCTCCCGACACCCCCAGCCTCATCAAGGACCTCTGCCCTTCAGCAAATTTTTCCAAGCCCGCCACTTTTATCGGAGCTCTCCCAACGCCTGATAGATAATATCACGGTCACTGTCCAGAAGCCGGCGGTGGACTGTCAACATTGGAGTGCACAACTTTGCTCGTATTGCTCGTGTGGTTAGACGTCGATACGAACTTTGTGGCTTGCGACAAAAGTTTCTGCTTCCGCCTTCTCGCCTACTGGAGATTCACACCGAAAACCTGTCTGAATGTCCACCACACATTCGATTTCGCAGGCGAAAGTAAAACCCCCTCGCACTGAAAGCATATTATTTAAATTTGTTCCCGGAAACTTAATTCCGTCCACTGCATTCATAACATTCGCAGCTCCATAACAGCGGACAGGCCATTTTTGACCACGCGTACCTAGCCGAAGCGACGTAATTTGCCAGCCTCTGAACTCAGCTTAGAACCGACCACCGTCACCATCACGCTGAGACACCGTTCAGATCATAAGTCACTCCCTGGGGAAGCATGGCTCCAGTACCGTATACAAAGCCATTCCCACCGCTGCGCCCACTCCGAGCGACTCCTTGGGGAAATGCGCGGTCGGCAGTGTCATGCTCGGCGCTGCGGATAACGGCTCATCAGCCGGGGAAGCTGTGCCTCATTCCCCGCCAGTCGCTGCCGCTCCGCAGGTTAGGTGAAGCGGCGTCAGAGGCCGGTAACGGCTGGGACTAGAGCGGCGTCAGAGGTCGGTGGCGGCTGGGTCCAGAACAGCGTCAGAGGCTGGTGACGGCTGGGACCAGAGCGGCGTCAGAGGTCGGTGGCGGCTGGGTCCAGAACAGCGTCAGAGGTCGGTGGCGGCTGGGTCCAGAACAGCGTCAGAGGCTGGTGACGGCTGGGACTAGAGCGGCGTCAGAGGCTGGTGACGGCTGCTGACCGACGCACAGTACACTAAGAATCCGTCAAATCGCTCTGCAAAGCTTAGTCGCTGATCTAACAGTAGATTATTCAGGCACTGCGGCGTTACATGTTATTGACATCACATGGCATGCTAATGTTTTGACCTTTTAATACCGATGCATGAGGGTACGTCCACATGCTTACCAAGACAAACCTTTACTCTGTCAGTTTTTGTTTCGATACGCTGTCATTGGCAGGCGTGTAGTTTCCTTTTCAGTTGGGGAGAATTCAGCTACCCCACACCGCCCAACTTGGGCCCCAGACTGGCAAACTCTTGGAAAAAGTGGGCAAATCTGGTGAGAAGCATATTGTTGGCATATTTTGGGAGTAGGTTGCACCCTTTTTCACCATCCAACCAGCTACTCATTTTGGGAAATGTCACCTGCGGACATTACACTTCATCCACAACCCTTCACAGGCCGCTAAAAAGCTGCACAATACGATAGTCTCAAACTTGCGGTACTGTTTTCAGCATAAGTTGTCTGGGAGGCCAAAAATAGTTTTAGGACGTCTAAAAATCCCTCTTAGCTGCAAAAGCAGTTTGTTTGTGTTAGTGTCATCTTTTTTAATCAGCTTTTTTGCATCACTTTTTGTGCTTGCTTTTGCGTTCCGAATAAGCCAAGTTTTAATTTCATTGAATTGTTCACACATCATTTCATTTTCATAGCTATTTCACTCTTTTAGCATTGACCTTCAACTGTGTGACACTACTGAGTGTTTTAAGATTAAGAGCGCATGGCTGGGACAGCAAAGTGTAACATGCCCCATACGGACCACGCCAATTGGTCAATCCGGGCGCGGATGACGTCACCGTTCCGACATTTCGGGCGCGGATGATGTCACCGCTCCCACAGTCCATAAATAAAAATGTCCATCATGAACAACGCGCGACTCGGCGTGGACGGCGAATAAATGACGTTGCGCCGTCACGGGATAGCCAACGATGGAACGACATGTGGGTCAGGAGGGCCGCAAACTTCCGCCCTCCGTCGTCGCCCCCAACATCCCGACCACCGGTACCTTGTGCACGTCGTCGTTGCAAAACAGCTCAAAAGTAAATTCGACGAACGTTTACAGAACTACCCAAAAGCTATGAAGAGAACGGTGCTGCTCTGGCGCATGGCAGAGACCGGGACCAAGACGTGACTTGATCGCCTCGAACTGTCCTGGTGGTCAGCACGAGTGCTAAACAGGCAGGCGCTCAGACTGACCACCACCGGGAGAAGACATTAAGCGAAAATGAGACGACGAAAACGCATTTGGATTTAGCTCCTCCTGTGCATGAGTCTTCAATTTCCACCAATTAACCTCTGCCTCCATTTCACCGCCGGCATTCGTGATCATTAATTTAGCATTCATCTCTTCGGTCACACAATGAGAGTGTGGTCTGCTTTGAGATATAATCCAGACCGATCGGACAGCAATTGCAGGCCGTTTGGTACAACAGGCGTGTAATGTATGTGGAAATATTCCTTCCGAGAGTTAGAGTAATTTCCTGCTACGTCTGCCTGTCATACCACACCTTCCACCAACGCCAGGTCTGAAAAGCGACAGTGGAGGCCATGGAAAGACTTCTCTCCTCCCTCTCTCACCATTTTCCTCCTCCCTCCTCCCTTTTCCTCCTTCCTCTTCCCCTCTCTCCGTCCCTAGCTCTCATCTCCAACCATTCATCCGGTCACCTTAAAGAACTTAACGCGTTATGTAAACCTATGAATACCCTTATGGAACGGGCAACTAAACCACGCAAAAACGTGAATTTCACCATGACAACATCGAGGAGAGCCATTTAGCCAAAAGTGGCAAAATACTTCCCAAAATCTCTTTTTTCCAAAGGGCACAGTATTAAAACTGATTCCTTCTCCAACCTCACTACACAGAGCGTGACTCTCTGGATCTGGATCTCATTCCTCATTAACCGTATTCCATTAAAGGGAGTGTTCCAAATCTGTATGGGCTTTTGAACTAAAACAGCCCTTTTAAGGATCATTACGTGCAGTTCAAAGCACTGCCTTGCTTAAGACCTAATTCTCTCTAGTCTCTGAGCTATACGCCCGCGAACATGTGCCGATTATTTTGGGGAGACTATTTCAATGTCACTCAAAGCACTGCCCTGCTTAAGACCTAAGTCTCTCTAGTTTCTGAGCTACACGCCCGCAAACATGAGTCGATTATTTCTGGGAGACTGTTGCAAGGTCACTCAGGCATCCATGGCGACATTATGACGTCACTAAAACCCTGCCATCGCAATAGCCATGCGGCGATCTAGGCCAAAAAAAATATAACTGTTGAGCCGTTCACATCTGGCGTTCGTGAGCACGATTTCCAGATATAACGGCCGCCAATTGGTTCTCAATCATTGTTGTGCAAGGCAGGATGACATAATCAAACAATGACGTATTGATGAGCATATCGGCCCTAACGATAATCTGTTCTGTCTAAAGCAGCCCCTCCACTTAAAAGTAAACCAATGGTTATAAATGAGCTTATTTCATATCGATGCTTGTTTCAGTACATTCAAATGTGGAACATTCGCTATTCATTCTCTTCCTTGTTTACCAATTCTTACTCTTCCTCTATTCTTCATTGCCTGTTTGCATTATTCGTCTCCACGATATTCACCGCCACTGTCGGTTTTGCTCCGCTCTGCTCCCCCTGCCTTACCTCGCGGCCCCGCTGCCCGCCGCCCGGCCAGCGCGCGGCCAGGGCCGGGGCTGTATCAGTATGCGGTCCGCTCTCGGCTGGATCCGGGCCTCAGGCCGTCCACGCTCTGGGCTGGATCCGGGCCTCAGGCCGTCCACGCTCTCGGCTGGATCCAGGCCTCAGGCCCTCTATGCTCTCGGCTGGATCCGGGCCTCAGGCCGTCCACGCTCTCGGCTGGATCCGGGTCTCAGGCCGTCCATGCTCTCGGCTGGGATCCGGGCCTCAGGCCTTCCACGCTCTTAGCTGGGATCTGTGCCTCAGGCTGTCCACGTTCTTGGCTGGGATCTGGGCCTCAGGCCGTCCACGCTCTCGACTGGGATCCGTGGCTCAGACCGTGCAGCTCCGCCGCTGCCGGCTGACGGACGCCGACAATAATTTCCCCCCAGAGTTGCGCGGCGCGTGCATCAATCACGCTGCGGTCCCGACGCTACATGCCAATCAGGCGGCGGTGGCGGTGCGCCGCCACCGCCGGCGCCGCCTCAGTTCCGGTGACCCGGAGATGGGTCAGCGACACCCGCCGGGACGCGCCGTCCGACGTGCCTGATGACGTCCGAGACCCGGGCCGACCTCGTTCGGTGTTTGTTCCAGTCGCAGTGGAGGAGCAGCGGGGCCGCTGTAGCTGCTGGCGCCCTCGGGGAGGGTTTGTGAGAGCACGTAGCGTGAGTCGGAAAAGCTTGGTTTGCAGCGGGTGTTGCGTCGAGGCGTCTGCGCGAACCATTCTTACCAGTATGGTGAAGTGTGTGTGCGGAAGAGAATGACTCTTTTGATGTCACGCTTAGTATGCAGCGCCGTAGGGCTGCGGAGACGACCTCGGACAAAGTTGGCAAGTTTCACACCGCGCGCCACCAAGCTGGTGCGGGGAAGGAAAGTCAAAGGCACTTACTCTGCAGCAGGTCAAAGACGCTGGTCCGCTGGTTGATTCTGTTCTGGAGGCCGATGTAGACCATCACTCTGGCAGCGTGGTGTTTGACAAAGCGAGCAAACATCGTGCTATGGTTGGTGTAGTACCTGCAACACAAGAACTCGCTCAGAACCGAACAAGGCGACGGAACCACAGCACCGGACTCAGAAGTGTAACCGACCACTTAGTAATGCGTCGCTGACGTGGTGAGCCTCCCGCAGACGAAGATACCTGTCAACCGTACGTGTTGTTCACAACCTGAAAGCTATCATGCCTAGGTTGAGGCAGTGACCATCTGCAGGTGCCCCGTCGTATCACACAGAGTGCATGATCATATCACGCCGATCCCAATTTTACGACTGCAGACTGAAACATTTATTTTTGTTGGCTTTTAACCACTTCATCCGGGAAAGGTCGTGGCCGCCAGACGGTCAAAGACAGTGAACGTCTGCCCGCCGGCATCCCCTTCCACCAGCTGGCCAGCGTTTGCGCAGCGGCTCCCTGCGTCATCACGCTGTCGGCGAGAGTGGCGAGCCGTCGCCGCCCATCTCCACCATCCGCCAAACATGCAGGCGGCGATGCGGACCCAGCCGGAGAAGGACAGGGACGGCTGGGCTGGTCGCTGCGGAGAGTGAGCCTGTGGTAACGAACCGTTTGTCCACATGGCTTCTGTCCCGGCGATGGCCAACGTGGCCGCGATGCGCTGCGGCCACCGGCGTTGCCATACCGTACTAATGGTTCAATGCTTGGTTAACTTACGGCTCTTTTGGCCTGCATTGATCATTCGGCACGGGAGTCACATAGACAAAGTGGGGTCAATTCTGCGCCCGTACTGCCCTGAGACAGCCAACTCCAAGGCTTATCCACACAGGGCTGGTACATGGGAGAAAGCCCCTCATCTCTGAAAAATGTTATGTTAACCCCCAGATCGTACACTCTAACCTATGACAGGTTACTCAGCCCCAAACACGTGTGGCGCGTGGCCCTTCTACAGCCGCTCGGACCGAACTGGGGACGAGGACACCTACAAGCTAGTCCGTCTGAGGCTGGCTGCGGCTAGTCCGTCTGAGGCTAGCTGCGGCTAGTCCGTATGAGTCTGGCTGCGGCTAGTCCGTCTGAGCCTGACTGCGGCTAGTCCGTCTGAGGCTGGCTGCGGCACAATCTCGGCTCGGTGAGGTCGGCTACAATGTGGGGCATCGCACGAACACGATACAGGGGCGGATCTGTGCTGGCGGCTGGGAGCGGTACATCCAAATAGGCAACTCAAAATACCGGGCTACCAAAATCTAGCTGGAGGCCTGAGAGGAAAACTCCACCAGTAGACTGCAATAAGCAATTGAAAGCGTTCAAAACACTCAGCGCCTCCGCATGTATCGGCTTCCTTTTCTCTTTTACAACTATGCATGTCACGAGCCTTTAACATGCAGTACCATACACTTGTAATCATGACTGGGCTGTACTTTACTTTCAAATGTTTCCCTTACTGCAGTGACAGAGCAAAGCGAAAGCCACGATTTGTGCGCCACTCACGCAAACAAACAGCATTAATTCACCCCATCCAAAGGGCGTCTTACGACCATCGATAGGCTGGCGTCAGATGTCGTGTCGTGTGACACGGCGCGGCACCCAGTCGCGTGAGCGGTCAGCGTGTGCTGAAAACACCGGCACGCGATCCAGACAAGGTTCGAGGCGTGACCGTTCAGTAAAACACCAGGACAACCTTGGCCACTGACTACAGGAACATCAGTTCCGTCAGGAGTTCTCCGTGTGATACGATGTCACGTCAGCAAACAAACGCAAATTGAGCAGCATGAGGCTTGTAAATTGCTTCCTCAGAGCAAACAGTGCATCGGTGTTTGCTTTCAGTTGTGGAAGCCCTCAATGCGCCACAAAGTCCAAGTGCCGGCAGCGGATGTGTAAAGCGCGGCTGTGCAGAAAAATGTTTTTCCCGATCACTCGTCCGCCGCTCGTGACCGAGAGCTCACTGAGACCTCCCCGAGAGGTGCTAGTCTGGAAAACTGATAAAGCGCGGTCCCTACGCGTGTCAGGCGGACGGCCCATCATCCGGCCGCCGAAATAGACGACCCGCACCGAAATAGGCGTTCGAGCACCATGCCCAGTGACAGGGGACGATAAGATAATTGCATTTGTCGGGGCTGGTCGGGGCCGCCGTCCGGCTCGGCTGACACGGAGCGGCGACCAGCAAACCTTCTAAAGCCATGAATGTGAAGCACGTAGAGCTCCGCCGGCGCTCCGCAACTCTGCTGATGCGATATCAGCTCCGACAGTAACCGGCGGCCGCGGCTCTACTGATGCGTCATCAGCTCCGACTAGTAACTGGCGGCCGTGGCTCTACTGATGTGTCATCACCTCCGACAGTAACCGGCGGCCGCGGCTCTACTGATGTGCCATCAGCTCCGACAGTAACCGGCGGCCGCAGCTCTACTGATGCGTCATCAGCTCCGGCAGTAACCGGCGGCCGCGGCTCTACTGATGCGTCATCAGCTCCGACGGCGTCCGGCGGCCACAGCTCTACTGATGCGTCATCAGCTCCGACAGTAACCGGCGGCCGCGACTTTACTGATGTGCCATCAGCTCCGACAGTAACTGGCGACCGTGGCTCAGACCGGGAGACAACACGGGTCACGGCGCCCGGGTGCACAGCTGAGATGCAACAGTGACCCGGACATTCCGGACATCTCGGACATTTAGACAGACTGAGGCCGCGTTAGGCTTGCGATTTTTTATTGCGTCAGGAGCTTCTATTCTATTTTATCTTATTGCGACAGGAGCTCTAGAATGTTGTCAGTTTGTACATAGGGTTTTAGGCCTGGGTATGTTCATATCTATCATTCCGTGCATTGGAATAGCTTGATGTGTTGGCCGGCACTTAAAAAAAAAAATGCTACAGATCGTCAAACAGGAGTTACTGGCTAATATGCTTATCTATTTAAGGAGGTCACCAGGCGGGTATGATGAGGCGTGCAATACGGAAATTGCTGCTGCAAGCTAGCCTGTTGTTATCTGCTCTATCGTCCATAGAAGACTGTGTATCAGGTAACGATGTCATCTCATCATTAGGATGTCATCCACTATCATCGGCGTATAATGTAACTCAGTGCGCGAGAGTCCGCAATAATCCAGTACATTCAGTAATAATTGACCGGAACATTCATAAGCCAAACGCGGCTTTTAACAGCAATAACGAGTGTCAGAAAATGTAAGACCGCGCGACTTCACTCATAGAATATCACGGGAATCCAGATGGTCCGGACAGCCTGAGGCGACGCAGGCGGCGGTGCGCTGCCCGCCGTCTCCGAGTGCGGTGCTAGGGGCGGCGCACTGCCCGCCGTCTCCGAGTGCGGTGCTGGGGCGGCGGCGCGCTGCCCGCCGTCTCCGAGCGCGGTGCTGGGGGCGGCGGCCATATCAGAGCCGCACGCACTAACTCTGTGAATACCACTGGAGCGTCGGCCAATGTGGCGCTTTATCTGGAGCGTGCGCTCGGTCGCACGGCTGCCGTGCGCTGTGTTCACTGCATGACCCGGCGTTGGCCGCCGCTCGCGCGCACGCGGGGACTCAGCTGCCACACGAAGAGGGCTGATCAAAGATCACTGGAGGTCCAAATCCTGGATCAATCTGCCTTTTGATAACAAAAGACGATTTCGTGCACCTTTTATTTGGGTGTAAGATCGATCAAGCTTGGATACGGCCACCTTTAAAAAATCTCGAAACAATTCTAGCAAAAATAAAGTTAAACTGAAATGAAATCACAGCAGCTTGCCTGCGATTTCTTTGGTATATTTTACTGAACAGCATGATATATAGTTATCTAATAACTATGGTGACTTGCCTCTAATAAACAAGTCTCGCGACCACTGACGTTACTTCACATGCCTGCAGCATATTGATAAGCGCTCGACACTACCGTCTGAATCACTTAGATGACACATCTAAAAGAGTCTACGACAAAAACGCTTCAAAATTTATTAACAACAGAGTAAGAAAACTTGCAAACTAAAAAATACTCTCCTCGAATTAGACTTCGAGGTGTGGGCATCCACTTCGGGATCTGTTTCTTAAAAGTCCGATTTTTCCTCGCCACGTCGAGAGCCGCCGCCTGACGGGCAGAGCTAGGTTACTTTGCTGGGTGGCCAGTACCACTGTCACCGTCTGCTCGGCAGTTGGCGGTGTCAGCGACTTCCGCATCCACGAATGTAAATTGTTACAGCCTGACACAATTCGACGAAAGGTGCAGCCATGGGAGTCACTTTACGAGGAGTCGGCGAAGCCCGAGGCGGCCCTTGCTACGACAGTCGGATACACCCACACACGTAAAGAAGTCTACCGCCGCGATCCACCCGAGAAAGTACCTGCGTGACGTGGTGTATCAAGCCCCGTCACATCTCCCATACCCTAAATGGATGGGGAAATTCACACTTAACGCCGAGAAACGTGCCTGTGCAATTGTTCTCGTAACCGTCGTTATGTTCAACAAACGTTGATTCACAGTAAACCTATCGCTATCAAACAGATATAGGGATGGGATTGGCTAATCAACGATATAAGGATCATGCCTACACTTCGTTCAGACATTACCTAGATTATGAGTTTGAGTGGGCGCAGACAATGCAAAGTAGTTGCTGATGAAGAAAACGTTATAATTTAAAAACGTCAGTCTGGTCGAGTGTATGCGCCTCTGATGGGACAATGAAAAGATGTCATCGTTGATCCTGCATTGACCAAGAGTTCATTTCTAGTAAATTTCATGTGTTTGCAAGGCATTGAGCCCAGTAAGAGAAACAGTGCTAGAGCAAATCCTTCCTTTCATTTAACCTGGACGGACATTTTCCGTAAAAGCTGGGTTCTCCGTACGCTACACTTGTGTCTGTTGGCTAACAGTGTCGTGTTTCAATTGCTCTAATGGCTAGCACGATTTCCGCACCGTGTAAGCCGCTGCCGCACGCCCGCTCTGCATTTCGGCAGCATGGCCCGCTATTTCTGTTTTACAGTCGGTGCATTCAAGGGTCAAGCTCACAGCGCGGGCTGCGGTCAGAGCGTCCCAGATTACTGCCCTCACCATTCGAGCGGCTCCACCGTTTCCGACGCTCTTCAGTTTTTACATAAGGAGCCGGCTCCACCGGTGTCAGCGTCGACAGAGTAGGCTGTTCGCATATTCATTCTTTCCGCTTAGTTGCCATTCAGGCCAGGGGGGTCTTGGCGTGTCGCGACTTGCCATGGCTGCTTTCGGCAGCGTAGCGACGCCTGCGCGGTGACACGCTTTGTCCTCTCCAGAACAGGCTGGCCGCGGCGTGGGTAGCCGCAAATTCAATTTACGTGTGGGATATTCGTTCGTCAGTTGTTTTCGTTGGACGGAAAAAGTGCTCCGATAGGCGTTGGCGATAAGCGTTGGGCGACGGCACTGTCTGTGGACTAACAAGCAGAAATGTTCGATGAAACAAGCGTATTTCAGCGTCCAGTTGACCGTACAGCCGCCGCATAATAGTAAATTATAACAACTCATGCGGCATGCGTCATTTTAGATGCGGTCACAATCACAAATCACCGAGACATATAAATCAAACGCTCCCTTCCCAACTGAATAAGGACCTTAGAACCGGCACTCGCGAATAGGCTGAGGGCTGGACTGCACATTCGCGGCCAGGCCGGCGGCTGGACTGCACACTCGATCTGACTGCTGGACGGTACATTGCACCCGCTCCTGCATGCTACAACAACCTGCTGCTATCCGCCACTCAACAGAGGAGCTACAACAACCTGCTGCTATCCGCCACACAATAGAGGACAGAATCGGAAGGCAGGATCGGCTGGATCCGGCTGTCAGGCACTCACCACTCGTCGGAAGGCAGGATCCACTGAATCCGGCTGTCAGGCACTCACCACTCGTCAAAAGGCAGGATCCGCTGGATCCGGCTGTCAGGCACTCACCACTCGTCGGAAGCCAGGATTCGCTGGATCCGGCTGTCAGCCACTCACAACTCGTCGGAAGGCAGGATCCACTGGATCCGGTTGTCAGGCACTCACTTCCCGCCGAAAGGCAGGATCAGCTGGATCCGGCTGTTAGTCACTCACCACTCGTCGGAAGGCAGGATCAGCTGGATCAGGCTGTCCACCAGCTCGGTGGCCAGCAGGGCGTCATGGTTGGCCGGGTCCAGCGCCAGGTTGGCCATCAGTTGCAGCGACAGGCAGAGCAGTTGCTGAAACAGGCGGCGCCAGTCTCCAATTCGATCTGTCCCAGCCGCGGCGCCCTGCGCCGGTTTGGCCGCTCTTCATCGTTCTGCCGGCCGCGCAGGCTGGCAGAGTTGTGGTCTCACGGAGCCGGCCCAATATTACAGAAGCAGGACGGCACGGCCGACCCGTTCCCCCCGGCTCTGGTCGCATGGTCAGCACTTTTGTAGCACCAGTTGGCCGACTGACACCCGCCGAATAGCAATGGTGGTGCTTGCATGCGTGGTCAGACAGCGCCTTAGGGTATCGTCTCGTTAGGGTATCGTCTCGTGGGATAGTTTCGTAGGCGAACCGATACCAGGAGCAACAGCCACCACCGGCAAGTCGTCTGGGCACGTGGCGCACGCGGGACCGTTGCTGCTCAGCCCGGAGCAGACCTAGTCTCTGATAAACAGGGCTCAGGCAGGAGATAGGCTCTAGCGCAGCCGTCCCTCAGAGTAGCAGCCCTTCACCCCGAGCCTCGGAGCCGCCGTCAAAACATGAGGTCATGGACCGGCGGCCAGTCGTGTTGTTACCACTGACTGGTCGCCAATCGGAGCTGACCATCTTGGTTTAACAACATTGCGAACTGTCGCGTTTAACACCCAGGTCCCCCGTTGACGCCATGACCCTGGGCGCTATAATAGGGCCGTGTCGCTGACGCTCCACGAAAGGACACGCGGCGATGAGCTCATTTAGAATCATTTACGAGCCGTGGTCGCAAATCTATCACTAACGAACCCTACCTTCGTCAATGCTGTGCTATATATATACTGATCGTTGTCCGCTTTAAGGTGTTGCATCACCGCGCGCGTCCCTGCGGGGCAGCGGCCGTGTCTAACCTCGCCCGAGACGCCGCCGGCGCCGCTGTCCCTGCGGGGCAGCGGCCGTGTCTAACCTCGCCCGAGACGCCGCCGGCGCCGCTGTCCCTGCTGGGCAGTGGCCGTGTCTAACCTCGCCCGAGACGCCGCCGGCGCCGCTGTCCCTGCGGGGCAGCGGCCGTGTCTAACCTCGCCCGAGACGCCGCCGGCGCCGCTGTCCCTGCGGGGCAGCGGCCGTGTCTAACCTCGCCCGAGACGCCGCCGGCGCCGCTGTCCCTGCGAACTCGGCCTTCATCAGCGCGCCGAGCAGCGGCCGCCGCGGACGTGACCGACGCCAATTCGGACGCAGATGGGACGAGATTTGAGCTGGCTGACAGTCCCGGCCGCGGCACGCCGAGGCGCAGAAGGCGCCGATGCGCCGGCTGCGAGGCGCTCGCTGACATACCGAGCCGGCGGGGGCGGCAGGCGCGCGTCAGAGAAATGAACGCCTCTAGCGCAGGTGATTTGACGGAGGATTGCCGGAGTGATGATCAGCCCATCAGCCACTGGTTCAGCCGATACTAGCTCATATTGAGCCGTTCAAGCGAATTCCAACCATTACAAAACCCTATGTGCGGAACAGGTCAGGCGGTCCTACGCTATTTCAAAGGTTACAAGGCATTCCAAGACGACACCAATTATGTCGATCGAGAGCCCTGGATGTAACTCGCAGACACGCCATAACCGATCCCGAACGACATCAAAGTCAAAGATAGAACGGTGTAAATAAAAACTGGCTCGGGCACGAAGATGCATGGGTACATGGGTACATGGGTACATGGCCGGTATCGTTTCGCTGCTACCAATCCTCCTGCTTACTATCGGACTTGAATGCGCTTTTAATGTCGGCGAGCGTTTTTTTTTTTTTTGGCACCAACAGCCTCTACATGAATAGGCCGCAGCCCATCAACTACAGCCAATACTGATTCAGAAAACAACTGAACGCAATGAGGTGCCGGCACATTGATTTTCCCCATATCCGACCAGGAGTGGCAAAATAGTTTTGCATGTATCGCACATTTCTACAAGTTTTCCCACAATATCTGAGCCACGCTGCTAGACCATTTTCGTCCCGCGCCAGTCAGATCTCCGCGACAATGTCCACGTTCCGGGCGTGCCGTGGCCGCGCGCGTCACGTGACCTGCGTGACCCCTGGGCTCCGAGTTGAGTATTGAACCCACAGCGTTTACGGCCCGGCGGACGCACCGTCGCAGAGACGGATGGCATCGCCAGCCCGCGCAGCTGATCTGAGGGACGACAGCGGCTGTCTAAACACGTGCCCTCTCAGAGGCCCTCCCTGCATATCGGCCCTCTCCGGCAGCGGGGCAGCACCACCCGCCACGACGGCCAGCGCGGCCGAAACCGAGCCGATGGCCGAGGCACGGCAGCCGGACCCGTTAGGCGCCGTCGGAGAGGCGGCTCTACGTCGCAGGGCGGGATGAACCTCCCGCACTCGGCGCTGCACGGATGCAGGATTCCACGGGTTCTGCGCGCGCGGTGCCGCCCACCCGTCGGCAGACACCGCATCGCCACAGCCCGTCGAGGACCTCACCGGGTCGTGCGTGGTGTCCAGCGACGAGACGAGCAGCCGCAGCTGGGTCTCCTCGACCAGCGAGACTCGATACGAGCTCAGGTGCGAGAGGAAGAGCAGCAGGCGGGAGCTTAGGATCTGCAGACAGTGCGGCTGGCACTCCTGCACCCTGGCGACACAAACACGAGCAGTCGACACGGCGGCGTCCCAAGACGTGTGACGCCGCACGGGACTACACTGTGAGTGGGGGAGGGTAAGGGGTCACGCGCGGAGGACGCGGGGGGGGGGAGGGGCAGGCGCCGGTGTGGCTAGCAACATGCAGCCCACATAACGTGAATAATCTATCCTACTGTGTTTACGACCCGCACGATTTGCCCATGCGACATTCAAATAAATAGTTCATTTCAACCACTCACGGGTAATGTCTCGCTGCAAACTTGTTTAGTTTTGCTGTACGGGAGAGTGAAACCATATATAAATTCTCGAGTTTCACAGACTCCTAGACACAGCTAAGGAGACAAATATGATTCCTTCGCTAACTAGGTGAGGGCCCATGTCCTATCGGTATGCATAAATGAAAAACAACGATCTGCCGCTGTCAATATGCGTTCATTTCAAAATGGTCATCACGTTCACGAGGCATAGGGCGGGAAAGTAAAGGACACCGGGCACGGTGCCCACGGCTAAATTTTAATAGAATGTGAACTTGGTCTCGTGCTCAAAGTAATCAAGTTGTTCTCATTGCAGCGCCTCTGCTCCAAAATACCGGGCCCCGCTGGTAGTACTCGAGGCTGATATTACGAGGCTGATATTACGAGGCTGATATTACGAGGCTGATATTACGAGGCTGATATTACGAGGCTGATACTCCAAATTGCGATTCCATGAAAACCGTCGTTTTCCTCGGCTGCATTCGTGGTGACATGCCTTACAAATTTATTCAGAACATTTTTAATTGGATGGATTGCTGCGACGAGTGACCTGCTAAGCAGTGCTTCAGCGTGAGCTCTGACCTAGTCATGAAGTCTCAAATTCCAGGCCAACGATATAATTTTGCGGCAAAGCCCAAACGTACCGTAGTGCTCGGCACGGCCTGTCCTGCCCCCTGACGTCGCCTGCCGCCTGCTACGGGGCAAACAGCGGGCGCCTGAAGCGACTCGAGCCTACCTCGTCAAAGGCGGGGGAATCGGAAAGAGGCGCTCCAGTCAGCTGAGCTATCGGGACGCACAAATATGACCTTTATGACAGGTATGAGTCGGAGTCAATGTGTAAACTTGTTTGCATTCTTAAGTGAATCATGGCCGAGGATGTAAATGCAGAGACACACTTGCTTATAAAATAGTCTTTTTTTTCTTTTGAGTCAACAAACAACAACCTAAGCACTCATTACTGTAAAACAACACAAACACCCGACCATGGATGTGTGTGGAGCGATGGCGATAGCTTGCAGAACTCCCACATGCGTCCCAAAAAAGCAACATTGACCAAATGTTACCCGCGGTTAGGCAGTCAACGGTTCCTTGTCTGAAAAGAGATGGCTGAATACCTCGCAACAAGCGCGAGCATCTCACAGATGGCGCAAAGATATAGCCAGACACGGCAAATTTCCGCTTTACCCTGCGCCCCCCCCCCCCCCCCCCACACTTTATCGTGCGCAGCACTCCTTCCTCCGCTTACTAAGTGGAGGTGAGCCTCGCAAAGAAACTTGTTATGATTTTTGTGTAGCACACTCTGCTCTATACGGATGGTTGCCATTTATACATGACAGAAAGTCGAATAGCACCGATGCTCACGTCAGCCCAGGCTAGCAGCACTGTTTCACACCGTTGACTGAGTGTACGGCATTGTTTTCACCTCAGGTTGGATGCATGTGGGCAGCACAATTTCTCACCTGTTACTGGGCGAGCAGCACTGCATCTCACGTACTACTGGACAAGCAGCACCGTTTCTCACCTGACACTGGGCGTGCAGCGCTGCTTTTTCCCCATGACGATCCGTTTATGCAGCGTGATGGCGTTGTGCAGCACGTTGACCAGCGTTCTCGCCGGCACATTGCAGAGCGCGTCTGCAATAGTCGCGACACGAAACTTGATGACAGAGATCCGGCCCGGACACCATACTGCCGATCTATCAGTGCGGGGGTTTACCGCTGATGGCCACTGAGATACCTCCGAAGCCGCTGACGCTGGCCCCAATCACCGGCGATACGCAGACATTGCCTGCCGACAGTGGCTGCTCGTCCGAGCAGATGTGATCAGCAGCAATTGTATCGGGTTTCAGCCCAGAGGTGAAAGGCTGAGTGACGGCTTGAATGTAGCTCATAACGCTAGGATAATATGCGTTCTGGTGGGCGCTATATAGTTTGTTGGATGCTCTATGTGCTATGCTACGAGACAGAGAAACGACTACCAGGCATCCAGGAATGGACTCACTTACTAGGAGTCACTTACTACAATGACTTTCGGAGTGATACTGGTGTCGAGGTGTTCCAAACCCACCTTCACCCATAGGTTTAGCCATTGGCATACTGTTTATCAACTAGTACACCACTGGTGGGGAATGACATATCAACTAGTACACCACTGGTGGGGAACGGCATATCAACTAGTACACCACTGGTGAGGAATAGCATATCAACTAGTACACCACTGGTGGGGAATGGCATATCAACTAGCACACCACTGGTGAGGAATGGCATATCAACTAGCAAACCACTGGTGGGGAATGGCATATCAACTAGTACACCACGGTAGGGAATGGCAGCGGCCTTGCCGGTTATCTCAGAGTCGTATGTTCACTGTAAGCCAACTTTCTACTCCTCTTCTTGCCTTAAGGTTTCCAGGGCTTCTGGGACATACGATAATGAATATATATATATATATATATATATATATATATATATATATATATGTGTGTGTGTGTGTGTGTGTGTGTGTGTGCATATACATGCCTGCGTCGGGCGATGGCGATCCACTATACGATATTCTGTATGAAATGCACGATGCCAGAGTGAAAAACGCACAATCTGACATTCGAAGGCGATCTGACAATTCGTAGAGGAGTCCCGGTTTCTTGCATCGAAAAATGCTATATTTTTCAAAAAATTTCATCCAAAACTGGCATGATCTACCAGCACCTATGTTATCTATACTAGAAACAAATCACCGAATGGGACTTTCGAAGGGTTCTAATTCACCATTGAAACTGTCAACCAGAGCGATGGATCCAACCTAGTTCGGGTCACAAAAAGACCCATAGCACGCATTATCATCTGACGAGTTCAAATCCAGCTAACACGAAATCCTTACGTTACCTCAATAAATTTTTCAAAAGCCGCTGAATCACTTATTGACCTCAATTAAGGTCCGATAACGTGACTTTCCACAGGCTGTAGTCATGCGAAGGTGCCACGAAGTACACCGAATAAATCAAATCAGCAACATGTGACATAATATTAGTACAGTGTCCTAGAATTGCCGACTTTGGGTGTAAAGCAACACCCTATGAGGAGGAATTTTTCACTCCTTTTCCCCATATCTTATGTGAATTTTTCACTCCTGCCTGACAGTATCTAATCGCATATGCCAAACGCCTATTTTCCTTTCTGAGGTTTTCAGATGTCATCCAAAATCGAGCTCACTTGAAACCACCAAACATAAACGAGGCTTCGCAGAACCTGGACACCTATGGCTATGTCCTGCCTCACCTACACCTGAATCATGTCTATGTATGCACAGAGCAAGGGCGCCAGGTACCTCCAAGCCCAAGAACCCCAGCGACCCCAGCCGCTTGCACGCATTAAATTTGGTTTGTTGACAAAATGCATCACAATCTGCAGCTGTGCGCCAAATGCAAGGTTTTCACGCATCCCCTGTTTTTAGGTCTCACCACCACGCCACGAAAGCAGAGCCTGGTGCAACACCAGCAAGGCCTGGTAGATAATTTTAATCCACGTATTTCTTTTTCACCGAGGAAACTTGACCACTAAATTGCATCACTCCCGAAATGCATGAGTGAAAAGTTCAAGAAATGTCTTCTAATTTAAACTTACAAGATGAATATCACCATTTGACCACTTACATCAACAGATCTTAAGTCAAATCAGCTGATTACAAAATTTTGCGGGAAAGTACCGGTCTTTATATTTATTTAGCTACTTTTGTTTTCTTGGTAGCATACCAGTGTGATACCACTTTATTCTTCCTTCCTTTTCGATTGTCTTTAGTGGTACCATCTGCCGCTTAAAATTTTGACCAATTTCTCTGCAAGATGCTCCAACTGCAAACTTGTACGTATTTCATATATAGATTGGATTAATTCGCCAGCCGCCCAAATATGTTTGATATGCACCCAAGCGTGAACAATTCACAGGAAATGAAGGAGACAATTTGAAGCACGGAACTTATTTTTACCGACATTTTTGCCCTCTTAAACCTTCGGTTAACCGATTTCTTGATTCATGGCGGTGCTCAGTAATGATAAATCCAAGCCTTTCGAGTGTCTGACTCACCAGGCTACCTGGCAAGGCTATTAAGGCAAGGCAAGGCTGCCATATAGAGCCTTGGGACAGACCTGACGCAGCTAATACAGAAGTGTTTGATGGCGAAATTCTGCGCTCTGGAGATGTTTATCGTGCACGCCTCTTACTTGTTTCGCATTTTAATCTCAAAGTTTGGTGGACCTGATTAAAATTTATGTTTGGGGGGGGGGGTGAGTCGGATGACTCTGTCTGCCAGCAGACCATGCAAAAGGTGCTGAATTTTTGTTTCGGGGGGAGCAGGAAGAAGCCAGAAAGTCCTGTGGACCGAGTAATTGTTTACCTTACCTGCTTTCAACACATGATTGGTAACCAGTTAGCCATTTTCTGTTTTAATGCATAGAGTTTTGCCATACGACAAACTATGGTGCACGAGCTTATTTTGTTCCATATTCTTGGCTATTTGCCCCAAATTTCTTAAAATGTTCCCTCATGGCTGTTTTAACCCGATGTTTTCTATAGTTGTCATGGTTTGCTGACAGGCAAATGACTGTGCTGTATATATGCACTATATTTTTAACACAGGGATACTCTAAGCTGCATAGCAATTATGACATGAGTTAAATATTGATATGTAACAAATAGTCAGACCACCCCATTTAAAAGATGAAGCCAACATCTCAACTTGCGTCATTAAGTATGAAAACAAGCCCAAATGGATGCATTTGCTGCAGCTGAAAAGGCAAGCAGCAATACCGGCATTGTCATCTAAAAGTTATGTTATTTTTAAAGAAGAGAAATTGTTTTGTCGAGCATACCCATTATTGCCCTTGACCTAGGTTAACCATGAAAAAACAAGTTGTTCAAAGTGATTTCAAGTGTTTTGATTTGTGCGTGGTCAACTTGATCTGATGTCAACAAGCATATACAAATAAACTGAATAAAAATGCAAGTTGAAACCAGCCAAAAACTAGCTTTAAATATCATGTTTTTATCACAGGTGCTGCTGTCAACAGATAGGTGAGTTGAGATGATGTTCATCATATGGGTTACTCTAAGTTAGGTTAATTTGATCAAGTGCATGGCAAGTGGCAATAAGAATTGTGCAAGAATCAGTAACTCACAACTGCTGCTGTGATACAAACAAGTTATGCAGGATGAGATGATGTAAGGCCTCTGTAGGTTAGACATAGGCTACTTTCATGGAAATAAGCATTGGTATTTCGTAAGAAACGGTGACAAAATGTTTGTTTTCCCTGACCCCATCTTAACATAAGTCAGAAGTATGTCTATTGCGTTTGGCTTGGTGATGGGCTGATGTGTAGGAGTCCAAGGTTTTTTGTTTGAGTGTGTTACGCTTGTTGCATTTTCTGTTGTTATGTTGTTATTGAATTCCTTTGCTTCGTTTTGTTTTAAAAGTGCTGTGGAAGGGAATTGAAAAGATCAGCATCAAATTATTGGTGTTGATAATTTGTTATGCTCATAATGCTGTCATGACATTACTACGTTTTTACACGCGCCCGGTTGGCCGGCTAGATACCCTTCGCTCGGGTGGGCGGGAGGGGGGGGGGGGTCGAATTGCCCGCCCCTCTGAGATCTCGGGAACTAAGAAAGCTGGAGACACAAAATTTACAGGGTGTCTTGACTTATACGTGAACTCACGTAGGTTAGGGTTTCAGCTTCCTAGGTCATGACATTCAGGTCGAATAAGGTCAAACAAGGTCAAATTTCAGGTTGGTTTCCAAAGCACCCCCAGAACCCAGGCAACTGTTTCTAAGCAAAAGGTCACAAGCCCATTTGAGGTCAATGACCTTGTTTGACCCTTTGAAGATCATGGTGACCAAAATGATACAAGACTGCTCTGCGTTTTGCATTTGAATAAGCGACAAAGATTGCGCTAGGCAGTATGTTCCTAAAACAAAACGTGCGACCCGAGTCATCTTAGGTCAATGACCTGTTCTGACCTGTAAGAACTTAATCGAAGATGTATAGTGCGGTTCCTGCTGTCAATAAATTGAAATGAGCACTAGAAACTATTCCATTCAGCAAGCCCTAGAGTAATGAATCAGGTTGGTTTTGACCTTGGTCTGACCATCATACCTGACCTCAGGTCAACGTAATTTGCTCATTCAATATTTGTGGTGCCTAAGAAAGCATCTTAGAGATGTATGTCTTTGTCAAACACTCCGTTGTTGTATCAGATGGAACGATTCCCTACAAATTGCCTTGGCTGAAACCATGGGCTGACTTTGACCTGTGATAGGTCAGCGACCTTACAAGGTACATCTAAAATTTGTATGTCAAATGATCCGCTGTGCAATTTTCTACAGCTATGCAAAATTTGGCGCAACTACCCCGCGCCGTTTAGAAACCATTCGGGAAAAGCCCTCGGGGGGGGGGCAATTTGCCCGAGCGCGTGTCACCCACTCGAGCGCGTGTCAATGTATTCTGTTTCACATTAATGGTCCAAGATGTTAAAAAAACGAAATAGTTTTGTCAGGCTCCTGATATTACGTCCGCGCCAACTTGAAATAGATGTCTTTGTTTGCTGAAGCATCAGTCACGAGCTCATAAGCTCCATCTTTTGT